TTTACTTTGCAAACTCACAAAGGCAAAATATTTCTCTTGTTATATGTGGATGATATTATTGTCACAAGAAGTAATCCATCTCATGTCTCAGCGTTGGTTCTCCAACTTGGGAAGGAGTTTGCTATGAAAGATCTTGGCCCTTTACAATTCTTTCTAGGAGTTGAGGTGAAGTATTTCAAAGGGGGAATTCACTTGAATCAAAGCAAGTATGCTGCTGAGTTGTTGGCCAAGACAGAGATGACTTTGTCCAAGGCGATAGCCACTCCTTTGGCTCAGAAGCATGGTTTGCATGAAGCTGTGGGAAGTCTTGTAGATGCCTCCTTGTACAAAATGATAGTAGGGAGCCTTCAGTATTTGACCCTCACAAGGCCTGATATCACTCATCCTGTGAAATTAGCAAGCCAGTTTATGCAAAGCCCAAACACTGAACATCTTCAAGGGGTAAAAAGGATTCTCAGGTACATCAAAAGTACTCTACACTTTGGACTCAGAATTATTTCACAGTCTCCATGTAGGTTGTATGGCTACTCAGATGCTGATTGGGGTGGTTGTACCACCACTAGAAGATCAACTACATGTTATAGCATCTACCTAGGTGTAAATTGTATCTCTTGGACCTCCAAGAAACAGACTACAGTAGCCCGATCGAGTGTTGAAGCTGAGTATAGACCACTAGCCTCCACTGCTGCAGAAATGACTTGGATTTTATATCTTCTTCATGACCCTAGAGTGTTCCTTCGATCTGTTCCTACGCTGTATTGTGATAACATGAGTGCCTTGTACATGATGGTTAATCCAGTTATGCATGCTCTAACCAAACATGTTGAAATGGACTATCATTGTGTTCATGAGAAAGTGGCTAGGGGACAACTTCTTACTCAGTTTGTGACGTCTAAGGATCAGCTAGCTGATATTCATACCAAAGCCTTAACAAAATAGGTTTTCTCTGGCTTTCGCAGCAAGCTAGGAGTTACAGTTCCTCCACTCACTAGCTTGTGGGGAAGTGTTGAAGGAAGCTTGAAGACTAATGGAACATGTCGAAGGAACAGGTCCATCGAAGCAGGCTGACGAGTTAGAGTTAGAGTAATACTATGACTAGACTACTAAATCCTAAGTTATGTACAACTAAGCTACTGTATATTGCAGGAGTCGACTAGGATAAGGTATTTAAGTTATAATATAATACTACTCATGTAAATAATTGTGTTGTAGTGTCACGCCCCGAGCCTACACCCTGGGTGGGACCGGCACCCGGAGATCATTTCTGGCCCCAAGCGAACCTTGGCCTGGCTTTCTTGACTCAGCGGAAACCTAACTCAACAAAATAACTCAATGCCATGCAAAGACATAAAATAACTTAGCTGATAAAGATCTGGCCAAAAAGGCAACTCGAGTCCCAAAATAGAATATTTACATATATACATAGATGAGAGACTCAAAAATAACTAACTGACTGACTTGTCTATGAAGACCTCTACAATACTGAGATGGATGTTGGGACAGACCCCGCAACATCCTAACAAAACAAAATAACAGAGTCCTCCGGAAACAAGGAGGCTCACCACTGACTTTGGAGTGCTCAACTGGATCAACGGCGTGCTGGATGTTGACCCGGGGTACCTGT